CAAAATAATAAAACAAACATATGACCCAGTATATGACCTATATACCATGACTGCGTTTATACCTGAAGGTCCTCTGCATACCACAGTGACACCTGCACATCCATGGTGATTGTTATTCTAGTCACAATAGCTAAGATATGGAGCCAGTCTAGATGTCCACCAACAGAGGAACAGATAAAGGAACTGTGGTACATACACACATTGGAATCCTATTCAGACATAAAGAAGAATGAAATCATGATAGGTGCAGGAAAATGACTGGAACTAAATGTCATTAGATTAAGCAAAACAAGCCAGATTCAGAAAGACAAATATTTCATATGTGGACTCCACTCCCTGCCTCCAGACAGGGGTGTGTATGTTTGGGGGGGTGGTAGAAGAGGCACTATGAGAGAGGAGGAAGAGGTCTAACAGGAGGAGTCGGGGGGGGTGATGGAATCTAAGTGATGTGAACGCAGAAGGGAGGACAACTTGAGGAGAGCAAGAGGTCCAAGAAGAGCAGGTAGAAGGATGGGCGAGGGCTGTGGGGAGGACAAATTAGAACAAACTGTAATATATGAAAATGCCATAATGAAACCCACTACTTTGCATGCTAACTAGAAAAATAATAAGAGTAAGGCTTAACGTGGCACATACTAGGAAATTTCATATAGCAGTAACAACCAAACTAAAACAAAGGTCAGAGAAACAGGAGAGAGGCACAAGATAAGCAGCAGGAAGATGTGTGAACTTGGGACATAAAATGAGTTTCTCAAAACAGGGAAAGGGGGCTGGACAGATGGCTCAGTGGTTAACAGCACATAAGTTCTTTGGTTCCCAGCACCCACATGGCAGCGAGCAACTGACACTTTCTTCTAGCCTCTTCAGGCACCAGACACATACATGGTGCACTTACATACATGCAGGCAAAACACTCATACACATAGAAAATAAATATATATCTTTGGGGGGGGGCTAGAGAGATGGCTCAGTGGTTAAGAGCACTGGCTGCTCTTGCAGAGGACCCAGGTTCGATTCCCAGCACTCACGTGGCCACTAACAACTATCAGTAATTCCAATTCCAGAGGAATCCAATGTTCTCTTTTGACTTCCATGGGCATTGCACAACATGAGCGCACTTGCACACATGCAGGCAATATACTCATACACATAAAAATTTTTTTAAATGAATAAAATAATTTTAAAAATTAATAGAAAAAGAATTGTTTAAAAGATTAAGTTTCCCATGGAGAGAGTTCTGGAAGAATTCAAAAGCTGTTCTCCTCTAACACCTGGCTGACCTCCTTGGCCCAAGGAAAGTGGAGATTTCAAGTGAAAGGAAGATGGGATAAGGTTTTAAAAACCAGGAGCTCTTAGAGAAGACTAGGTTCTGTGAAGGAGCTGCAGGGAGAGGCAAAGGTACTTGGGAAGTCAGAAAGTGTTTGCAAGAACAGTTAGGACAAGCTGACTGATGCAGTCTGCGTCTTTACCTGAGGGCGTCCCTGAACTTTTTAACAGGAAAGAAGGGGGAAGGGGAAAGGGGGGAAAGGGCAAAGGAAAAGGTCTCTCAGAATCTTCAGTCACACAGACTGCTTATCTTACCTAAGACACAGAACCCAGGTCTAAAATCTGAGAACCGTAGCTCAGCCACAGCGTGGATTTACGACTTCTTTAGACCTGCTTCCTGGATTTAAATCTTATTTGCACCATTTCTCTGGAACAAAAGTTCAGTAAGAATATGCTGTAATCTGTCACCTAAAGCCCTTCTGGAAAGAGGTGGCCAGGAGTTTATTTCAGACCCCACAATTTCAGCTTGACTTCTTAACAGCTGTTAAAATAGATGAAAAACAGAAACATCACAAAGAAAACTCATAATCCTAATTTTAACCACAAAGACAATAAAATGGACAGAAATTGATTAAATCAAGAAAGACGCTAAGATAATTGTCATTCCTTCTCTTTTAATTCAAAAGTTTGAGGGTTCCTTTGCTTTTTAATGGCTCTGTTGGCTCATCCACCCCTGGATCTCCCCTGCACGCCACATCACACAGCTCTCAATGGTCAATGGCCACAGCTGGCAGACTTCTTTCCTGGTCACAAGAGGGCAGGTGAGCCAGTCAAGGTCTAGTTTGGAGATGATATAAAAATGTGGAGTATACCTGGTCCATTGACCCTATCCCCTAGTGGGGGTTAGAGAGTCCCATCCAAATCACCATGGCTAAGGGTCAACCAAAACTGAGGAGCCCCAAACTGCTGCCCCAAACTGGGAAGGGCACCTAAGGGCAAAAGAAGCCAGGCATGGTGGAAGACCCTGTCTCAAAGAGAAAAAAGGAAAGAAACGAAACAAAATAAAATGAAATAGTGCATTTGTCCAGAAAAAAAGAATAATGTGGAGTACAAAATTGTGGTGCACTTATCAGGAACATTGGCCTAGACTATCCAATCAGATGGGAATCTAATATATCTAAAGGGCAAATTTGGGTGTTGAAGTGAACACTGAGGTCACTAAATAAGAAAACAAGATGGAGGCACTCCCATTCAACATCGAGATATCAGAACAAGCACCTGGGTGTAATCAGCAACTCTCTGGGAGCTGGTGGCCTGCACCAATCAGGAGGTACAGGGTGAATAGAGCCCAAAAGTCTTCAAAGACAAGATAAGCCTCAGAAGAGGCCTCCAAAAGGGGGATAAAAATCCAGACTCCAGGCAGTCCAGCAGATACACAAGCCTCTTACTCTAGTAACATGGGACACTTCCAGTGACCCATCTCCCACCAGAATCCCTTGCTTCTGACTTGGCTCTGACCTTGGTGACTGCTGAGTATCCAGCACCCTGGTTGACCTGGCTAAGCACAGTTGAGGCCATGACCAGCTGGCCTCCATTGCTCTCAAGAAACATAGTTCCCCAGGAGCATCTAAAAGGGCCAGATGTGGTGATACACGCAGGCCTTTAAGCCCAGCACTCTATGAGATCCACGCCAGCCTGGTCTACATAGCAAGTACCAGGCTAGCAAAGGCTACAAGGAGACCATGTCTCAAAAAAAACCCAAATAAATAAATAAATACAGGAGAAAACAAGCTGAGTATAAACACTCATCTCTCTGTTTTCCTGACTGTGGACACAACGTGGCCGCTGTCTCACCCTCCTGTCACTATGCCTTTTTTGCCTTCAAACCATGGGTCAAAATGAACCCTTCTTCCTCAAGTTGCTTTTGGGTCAGGTATTTTACCACAACAATGAGAAAAGCACCTGGTTCAGGCGCTACTCCACCCTCCCCGACCAGCCTTGCCATTCCCAACTGCCTCTACCCGACTTAACTGGAGAAGCAAGACCAACATGCACACTTCTCCAGGGAAGGAAAGTACGGAAACAGAAATCTGGGTTTCAATTCTTCCCATAGTATGGTTCCCCAGAGGCTGAAGTCAGAACTAAGCTCACAGTCCTTTACTTGCCTGATTTCAGTGTTACAGCCACCATCACCTGCCTTCAAACAGCCCAGGAGACCCCAAGAGGCAGAGGAAGAAACCCTAAATCCAAATTTCCACCAAGCAGGGGAAAGGGCAAATAATGTCTTTCCCCTTATTTCTTTATCGTCAATTAATGTTGGTACAACCTTATCTTTTCCCATCCATATGTAAGACCCTAAAGCATTCAAGTGATCAAAAATGGCCTCTTGGGGCTGGAGAGATGGCTCGGTGGTTAAGAGCACCGGCTGCTCTTACAGGGGACCCAGGTTCGATTCCCAGCACCCATGTGGTGGCTAACAACTGTCTGACATCCATGGGCATTGTACGACACAGGTGCACTTACATACATGCAGGCAATACACTCATACACATAAAATAAAGTAGCAAAGTATTTTTTTAAATGGCCTCTTTTTACGAGAATATTGGGAACTTCTGCCCTAAACAGAATCAGGCTGAAGAAACGGAGGCCATCCTACAAAACACATGGCCGACAAGGAGAGGGCAAACTTGTTGAAAGTGGAGAAAAGGGAAATGGGGGGTGGAGTGCTCAGACCCCTAGGCAATGGAAAAATCATCAGCTCCTAAGTCACATAACCTACCACACTCAGATGAGCCAAGAATCGCTTCTCAGTTGCTGTTGGTTCCAGAGAACCTGAGCTCCTGTCACCCGACACAACTGATGTAGACCAACAGAGGCTTGTTATGACACAAGCTGTGTTCCCCAAGCTGTGACATCTGTGCACTGGGGAAGCCTACCCCAACTACTCAGTCTATTCTGGCACCTTTACCATCAGCCACTCTCTAGTTTCCTTCAATAAACTCATGGTCATTTGTGTATTCTCACTAGACCAGAAGGACCACCAAGCAGGTCTGCACCTGGTATTCACTCCTGTAGCCCACTGTGTAGGACAGGGTGAGGCAAACTGGAAGCACTCACTTCCTCTTGTTGAAAGGGAGCAGAGAACGGAAACATTTGCAGCAACTCTGAGCACATTTTGAATGCACACGTCACTATGTAATATCTATGGCAATCCCTGGCTCCTTACCTTCTCTCAACACTAATGAAGAATTCCCTTTCATGAATGACCTTCACAGAATGTTAGCACATGCAGGAAAAGGCAGTTCCCTCACTGGTTCCCAAAGCACATCAATTTTAAAATAATACAAGCGGTTACCTTAGAAAAAGAGTAATGGTTGACATTCATAGCATTTATTAACTTAATTATATGCATGAGTGTGTGTTTTAGAGAGACAGAGGGAGGGAGAAAGGAAGGGAGAGAGGAAGGGAGGGAGGAAGGGAGGGACCCAAAGTGTACATCTGTATTGAAGATTAAAGTTTTATTTTTAACTATAATGACTAATGACTTCCACCTGACCCTCTCTCTACTCAATGCACCCCTTCTCCAGACCATATGTGCTTACTTTTAATCTTTTGAGGAAAAATAGGAAATAAGTAGGGGCGATTACATCTTGAAGAAATATGGGATTCTATTTCCCCCATGTATTTACCAACCTGGTTAAAAGCTCAACCCCAGGCAGAATGCAAGAGTTTACCTCAGACAGTGGGTGATGGAGGTATTCTGCTCCACATCCACAGAGAGGTCAAGAAAATCTTCATCTTTGCTACTCACCTGAAGCAAAACAAAAGGCAGGGAGGGTTAGGTACAAAATACATAGCTGGCTTAGTAGCTAAAATACTGAGCACTTAGAAAGAATCCAACACATGGCAGCAGTAACAGCCATACAAGGCCATGCTACTCACCAAACCAGAGTTACCTCCAAACATCCCAACCCAATCCCAGAGTCCTAATTCAACCTCATCTCTAGTATAACTCTGATTCAAAACTTGAATAATTAAAACTCAACCAGATTTCTCTTCCTCTCCAGCCATTTCCCCCATTGTTTCAATCCAGTAAGTAGTAGACAGTTATCCATGTACCCCAGGCTGGCGGAGGATGGAAACCAAAAAAGAACAAGAGACAGAAAACCTCCACTGCATAGGGCCCTTCACCAATGCCAGTGAGTTAAGGTCTCTGCCCTCCTCCCAGGCCTGTTGTTCAAACCATGTGTGGGGCCAGGAGCCAGAGTGTCCTGCTAATGCCCACCAAGCTGTTCTTTGCCCAGAAAGTGGTCACCACATGCAGAGCTCTGTGTTGTCCTGATAACAGTCATCCCTAAGCTGGCCTGGAGTTGGTCACACAGCCCGTCATGATATGACTGGCCTCAGGCAGGTGAGCTCACTGGTCCCAGTTGCTCCTCAGCATTCCACAGGTGCCCACACACCACCTCTGGGTCCTGCATTTGTCAAGAGTTGACTGCTTAGATTCCACTCATTCAACAACAACCCAGAAGTTTTATTGTCTTGCTGGTGGATACGCTGGCCCAGAAACAAAATGTTCAGTCAACCAGCAGTAAAATGAAGACCATACTCATTTAAAAGAGTGCCAACAACGCTCAACCAAAGATTTTGGAGAATGATCTAAAAAAATACTCAAGAGTTGCAAGCTCACTCGTTGATACAATTACAGATAAACACAAAAATGGGGGCTGAGACAAACTGTAAAAGCCCATATCCTGCACCTCAGTTTCCTCATGTGTAAAGTGGGGACAGGAAGAGTATTTCATAAAACTGCTGTAAGGATGAAATAAGATGATACCGATAAAATGCTTTTAAAAGTAAATGTTGGGGCTGGAGAGGTGGCTCAGTGGTAAGAACACTTGCAGTTCTTCCAGAGAACCCAGGTTCAATTCCCAGCACACACATGGCAGCTAACAACTGTTCATGACTCCAGTTCCAGGGGATCTGACACCCTATTCTGGCCTCTGCAGGCACTGCACACACGGCACACTTACCTACATGCAGGCAAAACACTCATACACATAAAATAAAAATAATAAAATATATTTTTTTAAAGTAAGTGCTCAGTGTTTTGTACATGGGTTCTGGCAATGAAACTCAGGTCCTCATGTCTACAAGTCAAGTACTTTACTAACTGAACTATCTCCCCAGCTCAAATAACATTCATGCCTATTTAAAGAAAAAATGTTAACACTGTCCTGCAAGGTTGATATCACACATAAGTGTGATGCACATATAACAACTATGGCAGAGAAGACAAAGCAAGTGGGGGTGGATGGAATATGCATCTACAAATTTATAAACTTTCTACATTTTATGTGACTTAGTAACATTATTAACTGTATATAGAGACTCTGTGTTGACTCTAGAGCACACAAATAACAGGTAGAAGAAAATTAGTTTAAAACTGTAAAAAATAGGGCTGGAGAGATGGCTCAGTGGTTAAGAGCACTTGCAGAGGATCCGGGTTCGATTCCCAGCACCCACATGGTGGCTACAAACCATCCTTAACTCCAGTTCCAGGGGAATCCGAAGCCCTCTTCTGACCTCCGTGGCATTGCACGACATGAGTAAAAAATCACCAGGCATGGTGGCACATGCCTTTAATCCCAGCACTTGAGAGGCAAAGGCAGGCGGATCTCTGTGAGTTTGCAACTTGCCTAGTCTAGCTACATAGTGAATTCCAGATCATCCACTGGGGCTATAGGGAGATCCTGTCTCAAAAAGACTAAAAAAAAAAAATTTGTAAAAAATAATAAAAAATGGGTGGGGCCTGGAGAGACGGCTCAGCAGTTAAGAGCACTGACTGCTCTTGCAGAGGACCCAGGTTTGATTCGTAGCACCCACATGGTGACTAACAACCATTCATAATACCAGTTCCAGGGGATCCAATGCCCTCATCTGACCTCTATGGGCATCACACAACACAGATGAACTTACATACATGCAGGTATAACATTCAAACACATAAAAATAAAAATAATTTTTAAAATTGTAAAAAAAAATAAAATCTAGAAAAAGGTCAAAGAGAAACAAAAACTCAGAAGGAATAAAGGAATGGGTAGAAAGCAAATTATAAAATAGTAGCCCCACACTCAGACCATCGACAATTATACAAATATTCATATACTGATAATTATTCTGAGATGGGATCTCTCTAAGTTAGCTAAGGCTGGTCTAAATCTCCCAGTCCTCCAGCTTCCTCCTCCCTATCCCTGGGATTGAAAACATGTGCCACCATACCCAGCAAGAATTAACTTAATTAAAAAAAAAAATTCGCAAAATTAAATTTTAAATATAAAAACTTGAGTTGAAAGTAAATAATTGGGGGAAAATGCAAAAATAGCAAAATATGTAAAGGCCTATATTATTATCAAATAAAATGGATTTTAAGACAAAGTTATGGGAAATAAAAAAGAACATCTTCTAGCAAAAAAAAGGCTAATATCAGATAAATGTAGCAATCAAATACATCAGATCCTCATAAGAGAACCTCAAAATCTGTGAAGAGTGGAACAAATATTCACCAATAAAAAGGAATGAACTATGGGTGCATGCACTAAGCCCAATGGATCACAAAACCATCAGAAAAGGAAAAATAGCCACACACAAAGCACCTCAGGTAAGATGATTCCATTACTATAAAACATCTGGAAAAGGCAAAAATAGTGAATGAGAGTGATATCCATGAGAATACAGATGACTTAACCTTATCTATGTGACAGAAATGTTCAAAAGCTGGGCTAGGTGACAGTTCTACAACACAAGTCACTGAAGGGTCACTGACTACAAAATGCAATGCCATGTAACTTTTGGTCTTTTTGAGACAGGGTCTCCTTGTAGCCCCAGCTGGCCTGAAACTCCCTATGCAGACCAAGGCTGACCTTGAACTCACAGAAATCTACCTGCCTCTGCCTCCCAAGTGCTGGGATTAAAGGCGTGCATGTGCCACCGTGCCCAGCTAGCAAAGTCATTTTAAAAAGCTTGAAAATTCATGAAGCCAGAACTGACCAATTAGGAAAATCCTACCTAGTTAGGAATTTTCACAGCCCTTTCTCAGCAGTCTATAAAAAAAGTTAAGGAGTTAAGGCTAAGCCAGGCACATTGGTTCATACCAGGATTCAGGAAGCAGAGGCAGGGTGAACCTCCTTGAGATCTAGGCCACCCTGGTCTCCATAGCAAGTTCCAGGCTACCTGGGGTTATGGAGAGATACTGTCTCAACCCTTCCCCCCCTCAAAAAATGCTGAGACTAACACCTGGCCTATAAATCCAGTTACTTGGGAGGGTAAAGTAGGAGGATAGCAAGTTTAAGGCCAGCCTAGACAAACAGTGTCTCACTAAGAGTATATAGCTCGGTGGTAGAGCACTTGGCTAGCAAATGTGAGGCCCTTGGGTTCAATGTCCAACACTAACACACACACACACATACACAGACCCGGGGGCAGGAAGGGAGGGAGGGGGGAACTAGGGAGAAAAGTTAAAGTCAAAGACATCAAAAATCTTAACAACTAACTGACAAACACCTAACTGATGAAGAATATTATACCCAACTATATACGTCACACAATTTAGGGTTTCTTAACAATATAAATTTTATTTTCAGGCAACATTTAACAAGGTCTACAGACACTTTTCCTAGCCACATCTTTAGGTGTGCGTGTTGGCATTAGTGGGTAGAATACAAAGATGCTGCTCAGTATCATGTAATGATAGACTAGCTCCCCAACAGCAGAGAATTCCTGATCCAGCATATCAATCACTCTAAGCTCAGGAGACTAAGTGTCCTTGACATATTCACCAGACTAGTCCATGTATTAGAACGTAAAACATGTCAATAAATTGGGAGTGACTTAAATCATGCAAAATGTGTTCCCTAAGCCACAGCAAAGTTAGAAATTAATACCATTAGGATACCTAGAAGTACTCCAAATGTTTGGAAATTAAACAGTATACTCCTAATTAGAGTGTGAGCCAATGGGAAAAATTATAAGAAAAATCAGAAAATACTTTAAATTAATGGCAAAGAAACTCTAATAGCAAACTGTGTGGGATGTAGCTAAAGCAGTGGTTAAAGGGAAATTCATAGTTTAAAAAACCAGAAGAACAGGGACCTCTTTTGTATTTTAATTGCCATCCTTACTACTAAATATAATTTCCAGTATGTAATAGGTTCACAATAAATATTTGCTGAATGAATTACCCAATTGAAGAAAAACTGAACAAATGGAAAGATACCTAAGTCAGTGGCCTGTGAGTGGCAGAAGTCCAAATGATTTTCTTTTTTATACTTATTTCTCTTTTTACACTAACCCATAAATATTATATATTTGAATTGGTAAAAGATTATAGCCAAGTGGAGTCATACAGCAATTAGGATGAGGTCTGCCTAAGTGCTTTCTCAAAGATGGGAAAGGGGGAACACATGACATACAGGGAGGAAAAAGATACAAATCTCATTCACTAACTAAAAAAGTTACTACACCTTTGTCAATTCTGAATGCAAACAGTTCCCAGCTTTAGAGTGAGAGAGCTCTGCTACAGTAAGTCAGCCCTGCAGGGAAGATCAAAACGTGACACCAGCCCATCTGGACTTTTCTCCATCTCTGTCCTAGATGAACAGTCACAACAGTCATAGTCCAAGCAATACATGATCAAGAAATATACTACAGGAGCTGGAGAGATAGCTCAGAGGTTAAGAGCACTGGCTGTTCTTGGTTCAGTTTCTAGCATTCACATGGAGTCAACAACTACCTGTAACTCCATTTCCAGGG